ATCTTAATTATTTTCTATATTTATTTTTATCTAAATAAAATTATCATGTCCCTAAAAAAATTAGTTACATAAAGAAAAATGATTTCTTCACCTTAAGTCCTAAATATATATTTTTTAATATTTGAATGGTCCCTATAATTTAAATTGACTTCAAATATAAAATTTTGTAGAAAATAAAAATTGACATACCATGTTTAACATTTTTTTTCAAAAGCTTGGGGGGCGGCTGGCCCCCTTGTCCTACACTAGCTCCGTCCCTGGTCAGACCAATTTTCGCAACATCAACTTCTTACCAAATACAAGAGTTAACAACACTAACAAAACTCTAATAAAATTTCATTACAAAACATATAAATTTACCATATAATATTTTTTAACTTTCAATACAGTAATTATCACTTTGATAATAAAATTACCTTTATTCCATACAGGTCTTAATGTATGTAATTGAAGGTTCTAATTAAAAAAAGAAAAAATAAAAAAGAAAAAAAACTAGACATGTAATCGAGGTAGGTAGAAGATGGGTGAGGCTCTCTTATGCAGCCCAAAATGAAAACAAGAAATGAAATAAAAAAAAATTGGCTTAACCCCCTACTTAGCCCTTTAATTTATAAATTTTAAAGTCACTGGCCTCAGTCTAAAAACTTAAGGGTTTTACCTCTTCAGCAATATGATTTGGGCTTATTTAACAAATTTAAAGTGCACATAGTTAGTTTGATATTTTCTTCATCCTAATCAATAACACATCAATTATCTCTATTCTATATAGCATGCTACCATGGCAAAACCTTAGATTTTTGTTTTGACTTTGTCTCTTTTTTTTATAATATTTAGTATAATAGAGTAGGACCCAAATTATATTATTAGTTTGTTAATTGTTAGTTTGTTACAATGGCATGCTATGTAAAATAGAGAGATGTTGTTGCGTTGTTAACTAAGATAGAGATAATTGTGTGCACTTTAAATTTATTAAATAAAAGAAAATTTTTTCAAACTATATTATTGATGGATTAATATACTTAAATTTTTAGTATTTGTTTAGATAAAAATTAGTAAAGCAAAGGGAAGGGAAGGGAAGGGAAGGGAAGGAAAGGAGGAGAAGTGAAGGGAAGAAAATAATTACTTTTAACCTTCTTTGGATAGATGAAAGTAGAGGAGAGGAATGGAAAGAAAAATATATTTATTTAATTAAATAATTTAAAGAAATAGAAAATAAAATAAAATAAAAATTAAAAATTAAAAATTTATTAATTAAAACAATAATTAAAATAAAATATTTATATATATTTTTTTTTTAAAAAATAAAAATATTAAATGTATAAATTAAATCCCTTGTAATCTTTCTAATTTATAAGGGTGAAAAACAAAAGAGTAAAAAGAATTTTATCACTCTATCTCCTTTCTTCATCATTAACGAAAGAAAAATAAATAAAATAAAGAAGATATCTGCCCTTAATTCTTCTCCACTCCCCCTCCAAGTCTACCACTCCAAACAGAGATTTAGGGAGGAGCTAATCACCTTAAAATTTATAAGTTAAATGGCTAAATTGAGGATTAAGTAAAAAAAAAAAATCGAGAACGTAAAACAAAAGAAAATGAAATTGGATGATGACATTATTATGGCAGAAGGTGCAATTGAGCCCCTGTGCTTGCAATTTTGTGGCAAGCCAGCCCCTATACTTTAAACTATGGCAAATCAGCCCCTCTACTTCATGAAATCCGCATAACAACCCTTTTAGTTAAGCTGACATCATCCAAACGTTAAACCTTTCAATTGCGCGCTAAAGCCTGGTGAGGTGGTGCTGTTTGGGCGTTGACTCGGTGCTGATGCGAGCCAATTCACTTCGCCTGGGTTAGTCTAATATTTGGGGAAGCCCACATGTCTTTGTAGCAGGTTTAGATTTGAAAAATAAACTTTCAGTTATAAAAATTAAGGAAAGAAGTAATTAGTTATAAAAGAAATAAAAGAAATTATTTTCAAAAATAATTAATTTTAAATCAATAGAAATTATTAAACCGGATCTTTGAATCTAGTTATTCATCCAAACCTTAAATGTTTAAGTTTAATTGGTTGAAAGTTTCGACTTTTATCAACGATTTTAAAAAATATCTCCAATTCCCCAAATTCTCCAATGTTAAAAAAAAAAAAATCAATGGAAACTATTATATTATTAGAAAAGTATTTTTTGGTAAAAATTCTAGGAGATTCTCTTTTGAATATAAGTAATTATATTGATTTCAACATCCCTTCGGTTCTTATTTTTAGGACATGGGTAACCAAATAACTCTTTAATGATTTTATAAATTATAAAAAAAGTTTTATTTTCTTTATTTGAAAATAATAACCATTTTTTATTTTATTTTTTAAAAATTAATGAGATTGAAAATTTATTATTAAAATGAGTAGGAATTTATTTATATGCAAATTTTATATAATATATTTATATAAAATTTCAATTTTTTTAATTATTCAAATT